GGATTAACCATAATCCTTGAAAAAGAGATGAGAGACATATGTATTGAAATAGATTCTAGTCAAGTTATCAAGCTCATTCAGGATGAACCTGCTTAACACTTTCAGCATAGGATGCTTTTTGAGGACACCAGATTCTCGATGAAGAGATGTAATTGCAATATAGCCCACATCCTTAGAGAAGGCAACAAAAGTGCAAATGGCTTGGCAAACATAGGTGTTAATCACCAAGACTCTTTTGTCATTCTTCATGACCTTCCTAGTGAGATTGCAAACCTGCTTGGTGCAGATATAATTGGCCTATCGTCTGTTTGTTTAGGCTTGATGCCTTAGTACGGTGTTTCTAGTTTTCCATTTCTTTTGTATCGAAAATAAATAAATAAATAAGGCAAAGCGCGCATTAAAGTTCATATTAACAGTGTAAATGTTTCGTGATGTAAACATTCACATTGTCAATGTGAATATTCACTCTATCAAATATGAATGTTTACATCACCAAATTGTTAAGGATTCAAAAAATATTTGTAAGTGTAAAATTGTCTATAAAATACCTTAAATATGAAAATTAGGATTTGGTAGATTAATGTCCAAACAATAGGATTTATTAGAATACAAGAATATATTATAAACTAATTGGAATTTAAGCATTTGAAAGAGAATTTCCTAATAAATTTTTCAAATTTTTTTTTTAATGAAAAATTTGAGTAAAAATTTAATGCTTGTTATTGGAATGTTTCATTTGAAAAACCATTGGCAAATATAGCTAACCAAAAATATAACAAAACTTTATTAATGTGGGTACTAAATTTTTGAGATTACAAATAATTTTTGAAAGAGATGGAAAGAAAATCATGAGCACATATGATAGCAGATACAATTAGGACGACAATAGCCGTAAGCATTTTTCTCTTTTCCTCCATAACCTTCCAAACATAGAGTGTTGCATTCATTATTATTACACGCTCCACCGAGGTTGATACGAGTTGAGCAAATTTTAACTCCATCAATCAACATCACTTCATTCACTGCATAAAATCAAATGAGAGAACGAGAGAACATAAAAAAAATAAAAACAAAATTAAAAGATATATATAAACATTATAACAAATTAAGATTTTACGGAGATAAAATTAGAGTTTGGGGTGGCTACTGTTCAATTTATTGGGCTCATTTCGATGATTTGAATCGTTCATTTTTAAAAAATATCGATTAGAATATAATTACAAAAAATGAAGTTGATTGAATAGCCTTTCATTAAATCACCTTTGTATCTAAAAAAATAACTAATAAGTATAGTTTGAAATATAAAATTAAATATAAATGTAATTTGAAAAAAGAGTTACCGATATCCAATTATCATAATTTTCTGCAAATATATTCTATTCGATATATTCTAAAAATTGAATGTTCGAATTATCAAAATAAGTCATGAAATTGACCCAATAAGTCACACAACAGGAGCTGTTGTGTGCTATGCACGACAGCCACCACAAAATCAAAAATTTGCAAAGGGGCAAAAATACTTTTTAGCAATGAAATATCTTAGTTTCCAAGTGTTGTATGTTTAGTAATGAAATTAGACGTTTAGTAATGAAATAGTATCCTTTTAAGACCATAATTTTTGTCTCAAAAAACAATCTTTCGGCACAAAATTGTTTTGTCCCTAAAAAATACATTTATCAACGACATTTTTAAAATTTTATTAGAGATCGTGATTAATCTCCTAATATTTTTTTGTAACAAAAATTTCAATTTTGAGAACAAAAAATTTTTGATCGTTAAAACCCGCATATGTTGCAAGGAGATGATGAAATGTGTAGTAGCTATCTTGTGAAGAACGCACTAGATTTACCTGCATTGATGAAGAGAAGAAGCACAACAACAGCAGCAAAGGAAAATATTTTCATTGTTTTTCTTCTCAATTCTTCTAAGAGTTTGAGATTCAACTAGGCAAGTTATCTATCTATATTACATAAACATCTATATATAGCATAATTTTACGTACTAAAAGAATTGAGGCATTTATTTACAAATACTAATCTAGACAAAGGAAGAGAAAATAGGAAAGAAATTATTGTAAGGTAAGGAATAATTAATGACTAAAAATTAGAAAGGAAATACATTTGGGATATCAAATTTTAAGGTAAGGAATAATTAATGACTAAAAATTAGAAAGGAAATACATTTGGGATATCAAATTTTCAAATTTTGTTTTCCTTTTTAATAAAATTTAGGATAGACAATTGGAGAGTCCATAATAGACTTACTAAATTTTCAAGATTTTTTAATATAAGATTTAGGTAAGGAATAATTAATGACTGTAAAAATTAGAAAGGAAATACATTTGGGATATCAAAATTTCAAAATTTGTAGCCTCCGTTTGGGAAGTGGGTTGGCTTTTTGGCTATTTTAGTCTGGGGCTAAAAAGCCTGGTTTGGGAAGGACTTTTTGACTTTTTGGCTTTTTTGACTTTTTTTGTGAGAGAGGAGTGTAATGATTATGAGTTGAATTTGATATTTTGTTTTTTGTAACTAAAATAGCCTATGTTATTTTTTGTGGCTATTTTAACCCCTAACCCACCAAAACCAACTTCCCAAACTATGCCTTACTAAATTTTCAAGATTTTTTAATATAAAATTTAGGATGGGCAATTGGAGACACGTTTATAAATTAAAAATTTTTGTTTAACCAACTTGTATAAAATAAGAGTTTGCTTGATATTTTCTAAATAAGTACACTTATTTAAGTCATATTGTGCCTGTTTGGCACAACTTATTTTCAGCTTAAGTCAACTTATAACTTAAAATAAATTATTTTTGCCTGTTTGGTGTAGCTTAATGGTGTAGATTATAGCTTTTTATAAGTTGATTTTCAACTTTTTCTTTGAGCCAGGGAGGAGCTACTTTTCCATTTCAGCTTAAACGGAAAGCTAAAAATCGATGAAAAAATTACTTAAATGCCCCTCGTCAATTTCAACTATTACCAAAAACCCAAGTATATAAACTCTTTTTTTCAAAACACTGTTCATTTGCTCACTAAAGAGAGAAAGAAAGAGGCGATTTCCGACAAGCGATTTCCGGTGAACAAACTAGAGCTCTTTCTCTCTCTCTCTCTCTCTCTTCATGATCTCTCTTCTCTCTCACGATCTGCTCCGTCGTCACCTCCCGTCACCATCGCGATCATGACCGTGATCTAAAACCTAATTACTGCAATCTCTCTTTCTGGTTGTGTTGTTCTCTAACGTTGTTTGTCATCATCAGGATTGACCCGTGCTCTCTCTCTCTCTCTCTCTGCGATCGCGATTGCGATCTAAAACCCTAACCACCACCACCACCCCCCTCTCTCTCTCTCGATCTGCGTTGTTTTTCGGCGTTGAAATCCTAGCCACTGGCGGTGGTTAATAAATTAATAAAATAATGTGTAATGAATTAATAAATTAAACAAAATTAACAACAAAAAAAAAAGATAAGAAAAAAAAATGAAGAAAAAGAAAAAAAATCAACAATTTTTATATTGGTATCAATATTAATTGGTATTAATTATTAATAAAGTAATATTGTATATTTTTGTAATGAATTAATTATTAATTGATACTAATTAATAACAATTGTTCATTATTAATATTAATTTATACTAATTAATAATTTTAGTATTAATGGAGACTAATTAAGCCATTAATTGATACTAATTAATAATTTTAGTATTAATTGATACTAATTAAGCAATTAATTGATACTAATTAATTTATAATGAAAAAAAAATTGTTACAATAATACTTCCATTACATTTTTGTCAAATGTATCAATTTTTATATTAATTAATACTAATTATATTAACTTTTATTAATGAAATAATTTTTTAAAACTAAAACTGAAAAAAATGACAAAATTATCATTTTATATCATATAAGGGTAAAAAGGACAATTATACAGTAAAAAACTATTTTACAGCTCATCAACGAAACACTACTCTGCTGCTTAAATCCATAATCTCATAACTCCACCAAATAGGTTAACAGCTTATGTTCACAGCTATAAGTTATAATGTATAATCACTTTCTCATAACTCTACCAAATGGAACCATTATCCCTTTACTTTTTGACATATTTTTTATAAAAAATTAAAAAAATACATTTATTTAAATATTTTCAAACAACTCATAAATATTTTTTAAAAATCCTTAAAATAATAAATTAGATTGGACGAGTTGAGTGGGTCATTGGCCTATGGTTAGGGGTGTAAATTTGATCCGGCCCGGCCTTGCCCAGCCCACTCAGGCCCTGGCTCGGGCCAGCCCATGTTGGGCCTTACAGGCTCCCGTCAAAATTTAGGTCTAGCTAGGTCAGTTCACGAACCAAAAAAATTAGGCCCAGATCTAGGGGATATTCAGGCTTTGGGCAGAATAGCGGGCCGGATCAGTGCGCCTAGGTCTGGGTTCGGGTTTGGGTAAGACTTGAATATTTTTTTAAGATTTTTTTTCTATTTTTTACCAAAATGTTATTTTTGTTCCATAAAAAATGACACTAAGGGGTTGTTTAGGTTGTCCTAAATAAGTGCACTTTTTATCTTTTTAGACTAAAAAATTGAGAAAAAAATATGAATGTTTGGATTAATTTTTTAACTTTTTATGAAAAAATGCGTATTAAAAAATTGTAAAAATTGGTTTGTAAGGAAAAATTAGGATTGGGAGTTGTGCAGCCGTAATTGTTGACTTTTGGTGAATAGTATTAACTTTTTAATTTTTTGAGTAACTTTTTGACTTTTTTTTATCTTCCCAAATTTGACCTAAGCCTCGAGCGAATTAGACCTCCAACCGAGTTTTAAGTGGGCCAATAGACTGGGCCATGGCCCAACCTAAGCGGGCCAAGCCCATGAAAATGAACCAAACTTCAAAATGATGATCCAATCTGAAGCTTGAGTCCCGGATTAGACTAAGGCCCGAACTTATATCCATCTCCGACCGCGGACAGATTTCGGACCACCCACGCCCGTGAGCTATTTTTACACCCTCCCCGTGGCCACCGCTACCCCAAAACCCGCGACTGTTATCACAGCAACTAAAAGAGGGCAACAAGGTCTATTCAAGTCAGAGCCATGGAATCACAAAAAGTAGAGCGATAGAGCAAAGGGAGACCAGGGATCTCTCTGAGAGTGCTTGTTTATCACAGTCAAAATCAAGGAAATCAAATGAGTGTTGCAATGGGGATTTCTTGCTTTTCCCACTCTCCCCTCTATCACTCTCAGTCTCTTTCTTCCTTATACACTTCTCAGTCTGTTTTCTTTTTTTCTTTCCCGAGAAATGGAGGCCACAGTAGAAAGAACAGAACACCCCAGGCTTGTATGCACCGTGTGAACCCAAACGATGGTGACTTCTTCAAAAGGAGAGTTATTGCTTTGGTGGGTTTTTCACTTCTTCCATTTTTTCAATTGAAAGCTCAAGCTCTTGAAGGTTTGGCAACAGGTAAGTTGGGTTTTGGGTATTTTCTTGCTTATTTTCCAAGATTGATGCAGGGTTTTTGGGTTTAACCTAAATGAGCTTCATTTCTTTCTGGTAAATTGATGAGTTTGCTCATTTTTACAAATTTGGATTTGGGTTGGTCCTAATTAGATGAATGTTGTTTCTTTTATCATATTCAATTTGCTTGGCATTATATGATTATGATTGTTAATTTTCCTAAATTTTCCATGATTGTTAATTTTCCTAAATTTGCCCCTTTTACAATCTTTGATTGTCTTCAATTCTGGATAATGAAGTTTTTGTTTGGAGCACTGTGCATGCAGTAATGGTGACATTTTGGGTTGAAAGTATGACTGACCAATAATTTTTTATTCTGAATACAATGGCTATTCTCTAATTCAACATTTGCTTGGAATAGAATAAATTTAACGTAATTAGTCATAATATATGAGATGGATAATATCTTCTGCTATTCATTTAGAACGGTAATAAAATTTGATTTTGTACAAATATTTTGTGTAGAGTCAGTTTGATGCAACCAAAATTAGAGTTATAGTATGAAGAATTAAGGTATATATGTACTATATCTTAGTGTAATTACCACCAGAAAATAAAAATAGAGCAAAAAAGCATCACCATAAGAATACACCAAATTTAACGTGGTTCGGCTAACTCAACCTACAATCATGAATCTTTCCTCTTTATCCACTATATTAAATCATGTGATTACATAACATCCACTATCATACAAAATAATAGTGGTTTACACAAAATATCTCTAAATAAAGGATTTATACAAAGCGGATTGAGATATAGTAATATCACTTTCTTTAAGGAAATTCAAGTACTCTGTGGTTGGTAAATCCTTCAAAAAACCATCTAGTGCAATAGACTATCTCAAATGGCTTGTCTTCTCAAGATACAACAGTCCGACTATACGTTGGGTTGGCTCAAACCATCTTTGCACAAGAGCTTGAACCCAAAGCTCCACCAAAGAAACACCCTTACATATGGCTTGAAAGTATGTACAAAAAACACACCACAAAAACACAAATTTAGAAGCACAGAGGAGAGATTTACTTCCTTGATCACTCTCTCACGACTCCCGCCAAAGGAACACACCAAATATATAGAACTTGATTACTGACTTAAGTCGGTAGAGATGAATAAACAATACTTCATCCTAAAATCATTTTCATCATATGTTTCTCTAGAGTTCTCCATCATTTTTTTATTATTTAATTTATATTTTCTTTCTTCCATGAAGTTTCATTAATATTATTTTATTCAAGTGTATTGACAAATATAAAAGATAAAAGTCGAAGACATAATACTAAAATATTTTTAATATTATAATATTATTGTGCATCTTGCACAATGCCCAGTTTGCTGTGAACACTTTTCTAAATTTATGTAATGCTTTCTTGGGTTTCCAAATTTGCCCCATAACTATGATGGTTGTAATGCTTTTTTAGGTTTCCAAAATTGTTCAATAACTACAATGGTTTAGCATGTGAGATTTTGAATGATTGTTTGATTGATGATATTACACACGCATTGCGTGTGAACACACCTTGTACCAAAGAACTTTTTAACAAAAGAAAAAAAATACAAGGAAATGCTCCTCAACCTTGGTCTAAAGATATCCTCAACCTTTTAGTTGGTTCAGGTATCCCAACTTTTTTAGAAGTTATGAAAGATCCCCTTGAAGTAATAGAGGCTTAGAGTAGATTAGGTAACTAAGGAAATGCTTTATTTTTATTTATTCTTATTTTTTAATTTTTTTTATTGGAAATGTTTAGATGCATTAGGTAACTAAGGCTTAGAATGCATTGGGTAACCATGGAAATGTTCCGAGTAAACTGTCTAATTTTAAAATAACCATGTTACTAAATTTGGAGAAACTTTGTTCATGGTGTGAGCGAAGAGTCTTTTGTGTTTCCAAAATCTAGAATGACCTTTTTTCTCTTTTTGCAGAATGAAGATAGATTGAGATATATGAAGAACAGAGAAGAGGGAGAAAACTCAAAAACGACTACAACCTTAATGCAATCTTTTTATTGTAAAACCAAAGTTGATTAATACAAATCAAAACCTAATTTTTATAGGCCCAAACCCTAAATTAATATGAGAACTAAATCTAATATTATTTGGAAACATAATCAGAAATATCTGAACCAACTATTTATTTTAAATCCTTGTTAAATAATAATATGAACAATTCCATGTATGGGACCAAAAAGTTTTGGATCCACGAACTTCACCATGGGTCTCCCAATCAGATAATAGTCTTCCATCCAATTAAGGGTTGTGTCATCAATTCTCTTCCACCAAAAAAACTCAACTCCTGCTAGTTAAGAATACATCCAATAATACCATATGACGGCTGAACATGTCAACTCAACGATGAATTTTTCGTCAACTTAACGATGCATCAATCGGTGGCTGTGGGACGATGTACTTTGTCTTGCCATCAATGAAAGAATAGTTGTTGGCATGTGCATCATGAATGACATCATGATCCTATATTCATGTACGACCCAAGGCAACATGACAAAATTTAAAATGAAGAACCTGGCACTGTTTATCAACCTTAAGTTTCGTATTGGTTATCCATATCACATGATAAGGCTCGGGTGTGTGTCAACCTTCAAACCCAACTTCTTTATAGCTTCCTCAGATACAACATTTGTACAATCCCTAATATCGATCACTAATGAGCACATTTGGTCATTACACTTCACCTTTGTATGAAAAATTTGTTCACGCTACAGCTTTGCGCTTAATGTTACCTCTATACAAAGACTGAAAAGGGCCAGGAGAAGTACCGGAAGGCCTTTAGGAAGTTTGTTACAAATGGGTTTCACAAAGGTTTTTTTTTTTTTTTTTTTTTTTTTGTTTTGGGTACAACGGAAAGTAACAAAGGTCTTTTTACTCCTTGTAGATTTGTCTATTTGAAATGCTACTTGGACTACGTTTGCATATGGTAAAGCCTGCTGCTAGCAACCAATCTACAAGAGATTTGCACATTTAATTGTGACTTTGCATGGAAATCATGACATCTTCATTCCATGGGAACTTGGACTTGGTAGTCAAACTGTTAAACAACCTTATATATTCATCGACGTACTTACTTCCTTGTGTTAACTAATTAAACTATAAGTTGACTCGTTGTTTGTAATCGTTGTTGAAATGTTGATTCATTACGATTTTTATGTCTTCCCAAGTGCGTATAGCTGCATTATGTTCTCGATGATATTTAGCACATCAAATTCTAGTTGTTCCCTCAATTTTTTGCTTCAAAAAAAAATAATTTTCTTTGCTTTGTCATGTAGTTCCAACGAAAAAAACTCTCTAAACTATGTAACCAATTAAAAAATGCCTTCAGATTGTGGTTCCCAACTTCCAATTAAAGTCTTGAACTTCTAGTTTGGCCCCTCTATTCACATCAGACGAAATTATAGGAAACTAGACCTAATATTATTTAGAAGATTCACTCTGATCCTCCAAAACCGTTAATAGGCTTTCAGCCAATCAAGAGCTGCGCCATCAAAGAATGATAGTAAACTCAACAAAAGTTTATCAGTTTTCATCTCCTTGCTTAGAATTTCTCAAGTTTTAATTTTATTTGTCCTGCATTTTGAGAACACTTTATTCACATGGATAGCATGTAGAACCTCCTTATTAATAGTGATTATCTCTTGGTTCAATGACTAAAAGCTTCCGTGGAAGTTTTAGGTATCTTGCATGGAATGCACCCATATCATTCAACTCAAGAAAACCTTATCCCAAGTCACACGCCTGTTATTGTGATGAGTAGGGCTGTTCATGGGTCGGATCGGGTCGGTTTTCCTATCAACCCACCAATCGATCTAACCATGGCGGGTTGAACATGTTCTCACCCGCTATCGACTGATGTAGTGTTCGAACTCAACCATTCTTGAGTTTCGATTCTGCGGAATAAAATAAATGGGGTTTCAATCACAAAAGGAGAAGAAGATATCACTAAAAATTAAAAAGAAAAGGGGTTTTCAAGAAATGATCCTAGATGGAGGAAGAAATCATAGAAGAACAAAAAACAAAGAGACTAACCACAAATGAAAGGTTGTTCTACCACTTCAACAATTGTTCATCCATTTTGCAAGTGATTTCAGATTGGATGTTGTTCAACGTCAATCCTCTAAGAATAACCTAATCTAGGTTTTGGCCCTTCATCGTTGAGTCACTAGATAGGTGCCAAAAATTTAATAATCAAAGTGGGTATTTTTGGGGGAGATGGATCGAAGTAGGTTAGGGTTTTGGGGGAGATGGGAATCGGGATGATGAGAGGAGCTAATGAGGGAGAATAGACACTGTGAGACAGGAGATACAGAAAAGAGAAGAGAGAGAATTGAATGCATCTGAGAGAAGAAGAATTGAATCATTGGAGAGAGAGAAAGAATTGATGCGTGGGAGAGAGATATGTGAGAAAATGAGAATTGAATGCATTGGAAAGAGAAGAAAGAGAGAGAGTGTGTGTGAATGCATTGGAAAGAGAGAGAGTGGGAATTGAGTGCTTCAAAAGAGAGAGAGTCAAACGACAACTATTAGATGTAGACTTCTTTGTCAAGTCATAATGGCTTATAGATAAGTGTAATCTGGACTGCAAAAAAAATAATGACACGGATATTGGTCGGATCGGGTCTGTCTGCTGTAATGTTCATTGAACCGTTGCCCGTCCGAAAAATTGTGATTTTTACGTACACTACCCGTAGCCGATCGTTCCTTCTCACAAAACTGTCTGTATGTTGATCTTTTGGATCTGATTGGTCGGTTTCATCGGGTGATTCGAGTTTTGTACGGCCCTAGTGATGAGAGCATGAAATCACTGCACTCTGGCCCAAGCTACACTTAAATTGTGTTTTTGGTTGCCATATTGCTAACAATTAGGAGTAGAAAGATGCCTATAGGTTTTCTTTATTTCTATTAACAAGTTATGAGATGTAAAGTATAAAATGTAAGTTGATTCGAGTTTTGTACGGCCCTAGTGATGAGAGCATGAAATCACTGCACTCTGGCCCAAGCTACACTTAAATTGTGTTTTTGGTTGCCATATTGCTAACAATTAGGAGTAGAAAGATGCCTATAGGTTTTCTTTATTTCTAATACATTAAATTTCTACATAAAGTATAAAATGTAAGTTATCCACTTGAGTCCAACAGTTTCCCTTGTAAGTGTTGAACAGCCCCTGTCCCTCCCTCTTGGTTCTCCTTGTTCACTGTGGTTTCCTAGACTTCCAGATTACTTATTTAGATAAATTAGTCTTTGCCTGCAAAAATGTTCACCTCATAGCCTAAACAATGGCATCATATATGTTGGGCAATTGATGACGAAAATAGTGTGAAAATAATGAAAAAGACAGAATCAGCACAAAATACAAGGATTTACGTGTCCACGGGCCAAGACAATAAAGAACATCCAGTATAATAGGAGATCACAAGCATAAGGATTTTTCCTGAAAACCCACAGAAAAGGTATTCAATCTAAATATCTAATGAGACTATAAAAACCCACATACCAAATCCTTCTTGATTGGATATGGCACCAAACCAAACCAAACTAAGTCTTGTGTCTCAATCAAATAGAATTGGCTACATGAATCTTTTTTTGCCATTCAATTTTTTCAAGTGCTATATGTTCAATCAAATTAAATCAATTAATATGTTTTTTCACTAGCACATCCCATGTCAACTTAGGTTTCCTCCTACACGTATAGTTATCCTATCACTCTTTCTTGCCGTTGCACCTATAGGTCTTTATTGCACGTGACCAAACCATCTTAATTTGTTCTCTCTTAATTTATGTTGAATAGGTGCTACCACCATTTCACGAATAGATTCATTTATATTTCTATCCTTTCAAGTCTTAACGTACATCCATCTAAGCATTCTCATCTCAGCCACACTCATTTTATGCACATGTACAGAACATCCAATGAGACCATGTAGAGAATTAACCCTATAATATTTTAATCAAGAATTGAAACCAAGCCCGTCCTTTGAAGGCCCTTACTAATCTGGTTTGAGAGCAATTAGCACCATGGACTCAAGAATATCACTTTTCCTAACTTAGACAGGCTTGACTGACAATTTCCAGCTAATGACCTTGTAAAAGCTTAATCCCTGTGCAGGTTGACAAGAACAGATATTTACACTGTATATGTGTATTGTGTATTTTGGGTATTCATAGGCTTTCTCATAAAAAAAGGGAATAAAATAAAATTTGTGGCATGGCCGAGTGGGCGATCCCTATCTTGTAACTAGCTTTTCTCTGTGGTTACTCAAATTCTATTTTTTTATTGTTGTTGCTGATTCTTCAGATAAAATGGTAGACACTATGGTAACTATGGTTTGCAATAGCAGTGAACTTTTTTTCCATCCTCTCTCATATCTAAGATATGTCTTTATGATTTTGATTGTTCCCTGAATTCAGTTATTTTATTAGCTTCCCTCCATTTTAACATTTCATATAATTTGTTTACTTCTCTGAACAAGGTTTGTCTACATTCTGATAGTCAGATTCTGTTTTTAACAATATCCAATATTTTGTCCATATAAAATATTCATTACCAAAAGGATAAATAATTAACTGCTGATTTATTTATTTATTTATTTCCAGTAGTTGCTATTATTTTATGTCTATTTATTCATTTTATTTCAGAAGAATCCGAAACAAGGGCAGCAGAGCAGAAACAAAAAGCAGAGGTCTGAATCTCTGCCAAACCTAATCTATAAATGGGTTTGAAATTAGTGGATTTGGTTATTTATGTTTTCAAATTATTTGGTGCTACTTGAATGTTCTGAAATGAATAATTTTTGTGGCCAGCAAACACTTCAAGGAGATGCTTCACCAAATCCTCTTCTTTTTCTTCTGAATGGACTTGGAATATTCAGTTCTGGCTTGCTTGGTGCACTATATGCATTTGCTATGAAGGAAAAGATTGCTAATGAGGCGATAATAGAATCAGTAAGCAATGTTTGGTTCTCTTAATCTATTCCCTTCTCTGAAGGAGACTGACTTTTTTTTTGGAAATAGATAAGGTTCTGTCTAATTAGACAAGTGTGCCATGTGTTTAGCAAATTAAAAGTTTATGATGGCATGATTGACTTTTGACTTCTGTCCAGTATATGAATAGCATGAAGTTGAATATTTTCCTCTGAGTAAAAGACTGTCAGCTTATTTTCCCATTTCTGGATCCAAATAACTCCCTTTAAAATTTATAGGAAACCCTAGAATTTCACAGTTTTTTCACCTTTTTGCTTAATTTATTGCTAGCAGAGTGAACCTCGGGGAGTTTCAAAGTGGAAATGCCTCCCTGAAGAGTGAATTTCCCCCTAAATGTTTTTATACTGTGGGGCTATTTGGTGCAGCTTATATAAGTTGCTCATAATTTTTTTTGTTATTTTATTTTGAGAGTATGTGTCAGACTGTTTATGTGTAGCTTATGTTTATAGCTTATTAGACAAAAATAGTTTAAATAAGTTGAAAAAATTGATTTTTTGGAAGTTGGAGAAGGGGTGTGCTTTTGGCTCCTGCTTTCTGATTATTAGGTTTTAGCTTAGAAAAAGCTGCACCGAACAGGCCATATGCAATATTAGCTCCCCTTCATATATATATATATATATCACTTTTATTTTTGAAATTGCTAGTTTCAACAATTTATTGTGATAATTGTGTTATTTTTTTACCAAATCATCCACTGGTTGGATTCACAGATGACAAATAAGCTGAATGAAAAAGAAGCAACCATTGTTTCACTGGAGAAGAACTATGAGTCAAAGCTGCTCAATGAGAAGGAAGAACGAAACAAGCAACTTAAAAAAGCAAATGAAGAGCAGCAGTCATTGTCAAAGCAATTACGATTGGCAAACAGTACAATAACAGGACTAGGACACGAGCTGCTAAGTGAGAGAAGATTTGTCGAAGATCTCAATGTCCAATTAGGGAATCTTCAAACCGACCTCATGAAGGCTGAGGAAGATAAGAAAGAACTAGAAGAAAATCTGAAGGAGAAGCTTGACTCGATTGAAGTTTTGCAAGAAAAGATGGCATTGCTCAGTTCAGAGATCAAGGATAAAGAAGATACTCTTTGTAATCTCAATTCCATGCTCGCTGCAAAACAATCAGAGCTTGAGAAATTGAATTCTACCTTCGAGCAGACCAAGGATGAATTTGCAGCAGCGAATTCAGAAATTGCAAGGTTGAAACTTGAACTTCTGGAAAATAAAAAAGAACTAGAACTGAAGAATGCTGTGGTGGATGATTTGAATGCTCAAATGAGTTCTTTAATTGTTCAGAAAGATGATTCTAACAGGAAATTCGATGCTATTCAGAAAGAATTTGATGATTTGAAGTCATCTTCTGAAGAGAAAGTAGCTGCAGATGCCAAGCTCCTGGGAGAAAAAGACTATGAGATTCACCAACTTAAAGAAAAGATAGATCTTGCTTTAAATGAAGTTAGCAGAAACAAAGCCATAGTTGCCAATTTGACCCAAGAAAGGGATGATTTGAGGAAGACTCTGGATGTAGAATTGAACAATGCGAAGAACTTGAAACACGAGCTCCAAATTACACAGGAAGCTCTTGGAAAATCAAGAAATGAGGTTTCTGATCTGGCAAAACAACTACAGCAGACGAGAAATCTGTGCTCGGACCTTGAGTCTGAGGGTTCTAAGCTTCAGGCTGAGTTTTCCGAAGCTAGAAAGTCATTTCAAACGAGCCTTGATGAGGCAAAACATAAATCACACGTGTTAGTTGGCGAACTTGCATCAGCAAAAGAGCTTCTAAAGAAAACTGAAGCTGAGCTGCAATTTGTGTCCCATGATCTGGCTGTTACCACTGAAAATCGTGATAGCCTAAAAAAGGAATTGGTTGATGTCTATAAGAAAGCAGAAAATGCAGCCAATGATTTAAAAGAAGAAAAGAAGGTTGTTGCTTCTTTGAACAAAGAATTACAAGTGTTGGAGAAACAAATTTCGAAAGACAGAGAATCGCGGAAGTCTCTTGAAATGGATTTGGAAGAGGCGATCAAGTCACTTGATGAGATGAATCAAAATGCACTGTTACTATCAAGAGATCTAGAGATGACTAAATCTCAGATTTCTAGCCTTGAAGATGAGAAAGATGTGCTTTACAGGTCGCTTGCTGAGCAGAAACAAGTTTCTCAAGAAGCCCGGGAAAACATGGAAGATGCACATAACCTTGTGATGAGGCTTGGGAAGGAAAGGGAGAGTTTGGAGAAGAGAGCAAAGAAACTGGAAGAGGAATTGGCGTTGGCAAAGGGCGAGATATTGAGATTAAGGAGTAAAATAAATTCATCAGGATCTCTCGTAAATGATCAGCATCAGAAAAGCGTTGAAGCCGGTGGCAACGCTGCAATTTCTGTGAAGAAAACTACTACTAGGAGGAGAAGGGGGGGTCCCCAACAAGATAATTCATAATTAATTATCCAGATTGCCCTTTATTTTCTCAACCCAGAAAGCTTTTTAACCACAGCTCTACTGTGTAAATGTGACAGCAGAGTCATGGAAGTTGAGGAAGGAAATTAAGGCCAAGTTTGGCTACAAAGGAAAAAGTGCACTTATTTCATCTTTTTATCTTTTTTGGATCACATCAATCAACATCTCCTCTCTACTTTTTCTACACATAATATAAAAAAGTCAAAAAGTGCACTTATTTAATCTTTCCAAACTAGGCATGCACTGAGGTTTCATAAGATGTATTTTAACTGGTTGTTATGAGTGTATATTATCAACTTTGAGGAATGTACTGCAAATTTTCATGATAAATCTAGATGGATATTTTTTGAGTTATTTTTTGTTTTAATTAATTTTAAGTGTAAACACACTCACTAAAAACATTAAACTATTTGCAGGATGCACAAATTTTATTTATTTTTATTTTTATTTTTATTTTTTATAATTCAAGGTATCAATCTACACTTTTATGAGTGTATATCATATTTTAATAATTTTTTCTTTTTTTGTTTACATTTTAGATTAACCTAATCTAAATACAATCAAAAAATAAAATATTTTTTTAAATTAAGTGGATCTAAAAAGTTGAAAAAAAATTGATTAAAATTTTTTTAAAAAAAGTTAACTACAAAAAAAACATTAAAACAAAAATATCAAATATAAATTTTGAGTTTCAAAATCAAACAGAATGCGTCTTGCGTATTGTTGAAAATGTGTGAATGGTTCGGTTTCAGATATGTAATTTGCAAAACTAAGCAGGAGTCATTTAGTTGTAGCAATAACTCTGGAGAGGAACAACTCATATATTACCAAATAAAATGAATTCATATTTTATTGTGAATTGGTTTTTAATAACTTGGAAAAACAATAACAGTCTATTTGTATGCTGGGTAAAATTATATTTGCCTGACTCTTTCCAAATTCTACAGTGACGAAAATATGGTGTGCATTGGACCATCTCTTTTTAGCTACTCCCATCATCAAAACTATTGATGAATCACACTCGATTTATAAAATTTTAGAAGAAAATTTTAATAAACATCCATTAAAACTATGACAACGTAGTCCACGTTATTGTAATTTAAAAGTAAAAGACTCTAATGTTATTATTAGAGTAAGACCAATGATCTATACTAGACAAGATATAGATGAATTTGATATTCAACTCCAGGAACTTTTAGACAAGAAGTTAATTGAAGAAACTAAAAGCCTTCACTCTAGCCCAGCTTTTATGGTAAGAAACCATGCTGAAATTAAAAGAGGAAAAGCCCGAATGGTAGTCAACTATAAACGGCTAAATGAAAATTTAGAATTTGATGAATATTTTATTCCACGAAAAGATGTTTTGATTAACTTAACCAAAGGATCAAAAATCTTTAGCAAATTTGATTATAAAAGTGGATTTTGACAAATTCAATTGACTAAAGAGTCAAAAAAATTGACAGCCTTCAGTACACCTAGAGTACATTACCACTGGAATGTTATGCCCTTTGGATTATAGTACCACAGGTATTTCAACGGTGGATAGATACAATTTTTAAAGACCTTAAAGATTGTTGTGTAGTTTATATTGATGATATACTTATCTTCTCTAAAACCAAGGATGAGCATAAGAAACATTTAAAACTACTTTGTGAAAAATTCCAAAAATATAGAATTATTTTGTCTCCAAAAAAGATTGAACTAGAAAAAGAATCAATTGAATTTTTGGGAATAATTTTAGACCAGAAAGGTTTAAAATTACAAGAACATATTTTGTCCAAAGTACGAGATTTTCCTGATACTCTTGAAAATATAACACCATTACAGAGTTTATTAGGCATTTTAAATTATGGACGAAATTTTATCAAAATTTTTTCAAAAATAGAAATTCCTTGGTTAACCAAATTAAGAAAAAATGTTATTTTTGAATGGACAGCAGAAGATGTTACTTTAATTAAACAAATTAAAGAAAATGTTAAAACTTTACCAGATGTTTATCTTCCTAAAACAGGTGATAAATTAATTTTAAAAACAAATGCCTCAGAAGCATGCTGGGGATGTGTTCTTAAAGCAATACCAAGTAATTTATGGTATGATAAAGAGATACCTTTATCAGAAAATGGGATTAAACCAAGAAAAAATTCAATACCCATAAAATTACAAAAAGAAGAGTTAATTTGTGGATATAATTCTGGAACATTTAAACCAAATGAACAGAAATATATTATTTTCGAAAAAGAATTACTTGCAATAAAATTGGCAATAAAGAGTTTTCATATTTATTTAGCTCCAGAAAATTTTATTGTACGTACTAATAATAAGGCAGTAAGAGATTTCTTGATTAATAAAAAATCTATTGAACAAGGAAGAAGATTAGCCTGGTATAATAAAATTTCTGAATATACTTTTGAAGTAGAACATCTTAAAGGCACTAACAATTTTCTTGCAGATTTTCTTAGCAGAAATTGTTTTAGAAAATTAAATTGCTAAAGAAGTAAATTTAATTTTTGCAGAAGACCTGTAGACCAAGAGGAAACAATAGATAAGGGTAAACAACCCGCTCAAGGAGATTGGGTGACAATTGCTAAAAAAGCAATCCCCAGAGAAGAAAAAGTTTATGTTGTGTTTGCAGGAAGACAACCTGGAATTTACACAGAATTGAATGATTACAAAACACAAGCTTGTGGATATTTAGGAGCGAGCTATAAAGCATATGATACCATGACTAAAGCGAAAAAAGCTTTTTACAGTGCACTCGCTATGCCAGTTTATCAAAAGAATTTTTGTCAAATGAGAACTAACCCAGTTCCAACTAATATTCAAACATCTAGACCAGATGAATCTGAAATAAAAGATTTTTTCAATCCTGGTATATCTAGAGAAATTTATACGGAACTCAATAGAGTTTGGAAAACTCACATTGTAGACAACAAAGTGAAATTTCAAAAACACATGGGAGTTCTGGCCAACAAATTAGTTGAGCAAACAGCTAAATTAAAAGATTTGCAAAATCTTTGTTTCAATATTCTTAAACAAATGAATTGGAACGAAGATTTTAATTTTGAAAAAATAAACAATTTTCTTCAGCTATCAGACCTCATATCAGATGAGTTTTCTGATCCAGTTTTTGAACAAATAAAAAGAATTTGTCTTTTAAAAAAGCAAAAACTTTGCTTCTAAAAGAAATTTTTATGTTAATTAAAATCGAGTTGAAGATCATCATGATAAAATTAGACAAATCTTAGAACGATCTTATGATAAATTAAATTTAAAAGATGGAATTCCCAAAATAACCATCATGGCAAACCATGACATGTGGTTTTTTGAGGATATAGATTGGGGAATAACTAATCAAGTTATTTTCCAAATTTTAGATCCAATCAAATGGATAGATTATCCAATGATCATCAAAACAATGCTCTCATGGATAGTAAAAGGCTTTCGATGGAGCAAATATTTTACTTTCTGGATCTCCAGTACTATTGGTTGGCGAGAACGAGAACATTTTTTCCAACTATACCAGATTTGGTATCTTAAAGAAACTGAAAATTTTGAATTTGAAGATGATTATTTAGATGAAGATCACCAGAGAGCGATTGAAAAATATCCAAAAACTTTCTTTGACAGAATATTTGATAGACAGTCTAATATCTGTTTCACAAACAGCGTCCAACATCCATGGCTCAGCAAAATTGCCATTCATGGTTACAGATGGTAGAATATTATTTGTAACTCATTTTCCCATAACATATCAAAGGTCTCCTACACAAATTAATGAGGCTCTTGACATGTTAATAAATCTCAAAAAGAGAAATAATTTGGATCTTCCGTTGGAACTAGCCATGACCGCGGATGATGTAGAATATTTCCGGAATGAGCAATACAGCCAAGATCCAGATTTCCCTCCATCAGAGACTGATGAAGAATATCACAATCTTATCAACAGGACGGAAGCATAGTGGACCCCACTATCAAATGCAGCTGTCTCCTGATCGACTCCAACCTTATCCAGGACACGTGGAGCAATCTGCATTATTAGGCGGAAAGTGATCAGCCACATCCTTTCAGCCGACACTACACGACAAATCTGCTCAGCTAAAGCTTATCTACAACAGTCTATCTCTTTGAAAACCGGGGAGGGTAGACAGTATCAGTATATATAATTGTAAAAACTGTAGCAAAGAGCAAATAATTGTAGTACTTCTTTTGTATTTATTTTTGTCTCTTTGTATTTACTTTTAGGTAGACTTTTCAAAAAGCCTATGACAAGGCTTGCCTAAAGAGTTAGAAATTTTACAACTTTTGGACGTAAAGTCTTGCAAAGTTAGATATGTTAGATATGGAGTTAGATAGGCATTAAGTTATATTTTGTTTGTATTCATCCCTTGTAAGTCTATATATTGGCCTTTATGCCAACATAATGAAGCATGTAAATTCTCTCTATATTCTCTCCATCTTTGAGCTTCATTCTTTGTCTCTAATTTCTCTACCTTAATTCCATAACTCCACCATAATTCCTTAATAAAAATAGTAAAAAGCTAGTAAAAAACTCCTTTACTTTTTAGTTTTGTAATTGGTATCAGAGCTTGGTGAAGAGTTTTTGAAGGCAAGATCAAGCTATGTAAGTATTTCTATCTATGTATAAATTTTTGATACATATATAAGTTTGTATGGTGTATTTTATGTTACAAAAAAAAAAAAAAAAATTCCGTCTAAGTTTTTTTTGTGTATCTTTTGTATTTTATATCTTCATAATTATTTGTTTCATTTATAGTTGTTGTAAAACCTATATGCTTAGTGTATGTGAAAGCCCATATACTCGTTAAGATCTTTTGACTATTGGCCATAATTAAGTCTTTAAGATCATAAAGAGAGGTTTTAGGCACCAGATAATACACTAGGAGGGTCTTAGGTACTAACAACAATCTAAAATGGCAATTAATTCTGATGATATAATATGCTTTGGAAATATAAAAAATAATGCTAAATATAAATATGATCATAGTTTGCATATTACTAAATAATCTGCAAATATAAATAGTGTGTGTTCTAGTTTAAATAATATTACTGATATTATGTGTTCTTGGTTTTCTAAATTAGATAAAAATCAAAAAATAAATCAAATTATCTAGAGACTAAAGTTGAGTCTATAGAATCTAAAATAGACAATTTGGGTTCTATAATAAATATTGATTTAAATAAAGAAGCAAAAAACTAAATAAACAATTTGGTGACAAAATTAGAAACTATATCCTTCATAAACAATGATGGAATGAATAGTCCAGGAGATAGTGACATCCCTAGGCTATTTTATGGTACAGAAG